CCCTTAGGTTTGTAGGCGTCAGTGCGCGTTTCGAACTGGCAGCACACCGCGCCGCAGCGTGTCATAAACTTGTCCACAATTAATAGGTCAGGGTGTTAAAATGTAGGCAATTTGACATCAAATTTGAAATTAGCGACTCAAGAAACATCAGTTACGAAACTTTCGTGATCTTTCAGTCATTATCCGACGTATTTCTTCCTATTCTTTAGTTTTGGACCATAGTCTGCCGCGGGCGGCGACGCTCATAAAATACTCCCCTGTGTTTAATTGGTGAAATAAAAACGATAATATCTTCGTTAGGAGTTGGTTACAGTAATTTTCATTGCGCGAATCGTAATCTACGTGAAATTCTGGTAAACAAACACGTATCAGTTTGCTCACATTTGTACCTTGTCTAGTGGTCGTTCTTGCCTTCAAGATAGTCTCCCACTGAAACTGAAAATCGATCGTTGTAAGAATAGTATTAAAATTCATTATACCGTCATCTTTAATTAACGCCATTGTTTTCTTTCTGTTACAGGTATGATCGATGCTTCTTCCACCCTGCAATTCGTATTGAAACCATCGTATCGTAAGAACCTTAAGATCATTACTAAAGAGCTTTCTTTCAAAATTGACAAACTTTATAGCATAATATGAACGGTTTTAAACAGAAACAGCCTAACAGTGACGTGGCGTGCTTTGCGATATATCGATTGTTATGCCATTTAAACCTATGGAAAAGGATCGATAGACAGGGTGTTCTGTTCGCAGCGAACCATTTACGTGACCCGTCTTATTCAAGCTGCTGTCTCGCAAAGAGCTTTGTGGAAAAGGGATTAAAATTAATGTTTGAAATGTGAACCGAATGTTCTACAGTGTTATAGAAGTTTTTACACGCACCCATTGAATACTATAGTCGATGCGAATAAACAGCAAAAAACACTTAAAGTTTTTCTTCGGGGGAGGAATATGGAAAAAAATATACATAATACTACCGCGCTAAGGAAAAACGCCGCACGAACATCCAGATTGTTGCCAAATTTTCATTCACAAAACATTTATTTTTGAGGAAATTTGTAAATATTTGTCTTTGAAATTCTCGGATACTTTAGATTAAAGTACCAATTACAATCTCCGAAGAAATGAAAGAAAAGTGTATACAAGTTTCCTTGAAAACTTGTACTTTATCAGAGGATATTTGGCAATATCTGGAGGCTTTAACGACGTTTTTCCTTAGCCAGGCAGAATACTAACCAGTATTTCCTTCCGCTTCCCATCTGTCGTAATCCCTTTTGTTCCCACGAACGTAGAACATAGCATTCAGACCGCTAGATCCGCCAAGAACTTTTCCTCGTGGCCAGTTCGATCGAGCTTCATTGAGTCCCTGGCAAGCGTGTTCCTGGGGCTCAGATTTGTACATCCAATCGAAAGGCGAGAACTGAAGGGCGGGGTACAACATGGGTAGTTGCATCAGCAGGGTCTCGTCTCCACCAGCTTCTAGCAGTAGCACCTGATGAAAATCATTAATAGAGGTTCTTGAGAATCAGAATCACCGGTGGCGGGGCGTAAATGATCTATTCATCAATTTTTCCCCCATTTGAAGCTATGGTAAAGAATCGATTATCAAAATGTTCGTTGCGAACACTCTGTTGATCGATTCTATTCTATAAGTTTAAATGACCGATAAATCGGTGTATCGTAAAGTACGCCACGCTACTAAGACTGACGCGTTTACCGTGTGTATTGTGTAAGTCATCCTCCTTTTTCATTGAATCGATTACACTAAAGCGATGTAATATTGAATTTCTTTGTTGCTTAAAGCCTTTTCGACCTGATGATCATCATCAAAGCAAAATTGGACCCAGTTTAACAGAAAGGAACCAAGCCACATCAGCTATTGCCAAATTCAACTGGGCAATTTAATTTTTTACGTAAGAACTTTTGTGCGGATTCCTTGGAAAATTTTAAGGAAATTGCTTCGTGCTTTGGGGAAAATTCACTGAAATTTGAAAAAAATCCGCACAACCGTTTTCATGCATAAAATTAAATTGCCGAATTAAATTTGGCAATAGCTGATGTGGCTTGGTTTCTTTCTGTTAAATGCGGTCCAATTTACATACCTTACACTATCACAAAATTTACAACAACTATTTTAAAACAAACAACTTAATTACAATTCTTCGTAACTGTCACGAAGCCGACACTATCACCCAGGATTGGAAGTTAGAAGTATTGAAATTACACGGATGGCGGAAAGAAAGTTCAAACTGACTTTTTGATGCTTAAAATTGTAATTTGGGAGCGAATTTTTCACAGAGTATGAATTAAGGCTAGTTTTACTTGGAGGGTATGCAGACAGTACCTGTACGTCTACAGAAGAAAGGCCTACAAAAAAGAGGGCTACTTATTTTAGTTTACAGTCAAAACGTCTATATTAAAATGCCTACTAAAATTATGTCTACAGTCAAATATGTCTACGATGTCTACGGTTTTTTTGCCCACTTAGAAAATGTCAAAATATTTATGTTGGCCACTAACTCATATAACTAACTTGTAGTCATGAATATTTCAAGTTTTTCAAAAACTGAACTTATGCGCCTTCCTTGTCATCCAAGCCCCTCAATCATCGATTGCTTAACATAGTATGTTGATCCTACTTACCGACCAATTAGGGTTCTCGGTTAGCCGATTGGCGATAACGCAACCAGCCGATCCGCCACCAACGACGATGAAGTCATATTTTCCGAACATTTTATTAACGGGTGTATCCCTTATCCGATGCTCTTCATCCTCTACGTCAGGCCGATACATTTGGATGACCAAACGAAGGAGGACCAGGAGAGCCATTCCGGGACCATATGAGTAGGCTATTCGAGCAGTGGAGATACCCACCAACGCCCGTGGTGGGATGTTAAGCGTTGTTTCCGAGGTAGGCGCCATTTTTTTCCTGTGGTAGGAAAATAATGCAATATACTTGTATAGGGTTGCCACAGTCAGGGAATGCCGCGGAAACGGGGAAATATCAGGGAAAATGACGAAAGTGTCAAGGAATCATTTGTATGTCACCCTTATTTACTCTCTAGAATGGACTCAATTGAATTGCATTTTGCAAAAAGGAACCACTAGCATTGCAATGATGCTAATATTAAGCAACTCCATCCTTTGCAATAAAATTGTGGAAATCGTGAAAAACTATGAAATTTAGATGGTAATTTTTGTCTTAAATTCACAGTTTTTAGCGAGGAAAATAGAAACTATTAATGGATAATCGGGTTTTTCCTCCAAGACAAAAGAAGTTGCGCAATCTTAGCAACATTGCAATGCTAGTGGTTCCTTTTTGCCAAATGCAATCCAATTAGGGTAGTAAGTCCTAGAATTAAAGCGAGTACACGCATCCTCAAAAATGGACTATCCGCACGGAGAGAAAAACTTCGTGCATGGGACCCGAAGTTGGGGTCATGTGGATCTCTGAAGTTTTCGGATCACGCATTCGAAAACTTGAGGTCCAACTGCCGAACTTCGGGTCAGACTTCTAAAGTACTTCGGTGTATACCGAAGGGTTCAGGTCACACATGTACAGTACTCCGGTACATACTGAGAGCTTCAGATGTCTGACCCGAAGTTCGGCAGTTGGACCTCAAGTTTTCGGATGCGTGATCCAAAAACTTCAGAGATCCATATAACCTCAACTTCGGGTCCCGTGCACGAAGTTTTTTCTCCGTGCGCCCGGCCAGATCGTTTATAATCACATGTGTTTAAATGGGCAATACCGTTGCTAATAGTCTGCTTTTCCTTGAAATTTAGTCAGTTTTTTAAAGATTTATTGATTTAATTCGCATTTTGGTGCTCTGAGCCTCTGACTTGGATTTTCGAAGGGTTTCAGAACATTTTGTCAACGATTTTTTGTCCGCGCACCTTTTTTGTCCAGTAGCTTACGCCCACACGTAAAATAAGCAACAGTGACTTGGCCCAAGCGTTATATTTTAGTCGGTATGTAAAATTATATTGACAATATGGAAATGAGAAATTGAGAGGGAAGGAGGTGTTGTTGTGGTTGCTCGTTTTCTAAATTAAATGTTATTACTTTCTCCTTTTGGATCATCTTTTTAAATTGTCATTGGTGAATATTTGATTTTATTTCTATCCTTAAAATATTCAATGTACAATATACCTCATATACGTAAAGGTACTTTGTCATTTTTGGCGCGTATACGTAGTATACCGCCTTTGCGATCGTTTCGACCCCCCCCTCGATACAATAACCGAGTCCCCTAGTTCCTTACCGAAAAGTGACTACCGCGAACTTCTGAGATTTTCCAAAGCGTGTAAAAAGTTTACTAATCCGTCAATAATAATGATTAAAATTTGTTTCTCATTCTGGGGCTCGCTAGTTTATGTGTAATGAATACCAAGAGTCTACGTTTCTTGGTTTTTTTTAAAAAAACCTTAGAATGGGGCGCGCTGATTTAAAATATGCATATATAAGCGGAAGCAAGCGAACTGATTCGAGGATGGCTGACCAGTTCGGCACTCCTTGAATGAGAATTTCACTCACTCCGTTTTGTTCACAACGTTGCTTTGACATATCTCCACAACACTGTTATCCTTTTCAAAAGTTGGTACTCCTTGCTCTGATAGCCGGGGCCACCAGGATAGTGGTAAGTGCAATCTGTGATGAGCCTCGAGACTCATTAGACCATTTGCTAAACGTGGCTCATACAGGAGTCCACTAAGCCCTCTCGTCCCCACGCTCCTGATCACTGCGTCGGCGTCACGAAGAACAATGGGCCTTGGGTCCCAACGCGGCCGATACCCGTACCCCAATTACTCACGCTTCATTAACCATTTCACCGTCACGCTAGGATTCATCCAATTTTCAAAAAAAATTGTTTCGCATGTATTTAGCAATTTTTTCCTTACTCTCCGTTAAAACACAAATAAAAAGAGACCTCATTCATAAAAATCGGCCGAATAGAAGAGAAGTTACAGTAATCGAAATCCGAAGAAATCAACAAAACCTCGACTCCTCGATACGAAAAATAAAATGAAGGGGAAAAAAAGAAAGTATAAATTACAATTAAATATAATTGACCTCAAAATTTGACAAACAATTCATTTATATACCTAACGCTGAAAAAACTGGGAGAAATTACAAAAAATTTGCCTCTTGCAAGGGGCTTCTTTGTAAGAATTTTGACCTGAAGACAACGGTCGAATAACAGCAGTACTCCATACAATACACGGTGTGCCTGAACGAGTTAAACATTTTTCATACGTCCAAATCGAAAAATCTTTATATTTTTAACTACAATGTTTCTTGAATCGTTTAAGCAAAAAAAAAAAAAAAAAAAATTCCGTCGAGATTCTGGAACGCAAAGGCGCTTTAAAAGTATTCTGGGGCTATAATAGCTAAATCACCGGTAGTAAATTCGTTATATTATTAAAAAGAAATTGACTCCATAGTTTAATTCCTTAGTTTCTTGAATACGATTATTTTAAGCACTTAAACATTTATACCACCAATTTTAGCCATGGGGTGATTTCCTGAGAGCCGATAATATCACGAATTTCTCATAGAACCCCTCAACAGTGGCTTGCTTTTTTGGCAGCCGATTCGGCCATCGAACCGGAGTTTAAATGGAAGCTGATAATAACCCAAAGCTCTGAGAAAAATTTTGAGATGAGTATAAGAACGGTTTGTTGTAAGTAGCGAGGAGAGGCGGGCAAAGCGGCTAAAATCCTATCTAATTTTTACAGTTTTTCTGTTGAATTAATGTTGCCGCGGGCTTCTGACTGTCCACACATAGTTCTGTTCAGCATATCGATACATAAGTATTTACATTTTACATACGTAGAATCTAATTTTCACGTCGGGGAGTTGACATATTTTGATTTTTTCGATTTTATACGGAAAATTGATGGTTTTTCGGGATTGAAATTATTATTGTTTCATGAAAAATAAATGCACCCAAAATGACTATAGCATATTGATTCTTACACATTTGCACTCACAAAATTGGTTGGTAAATTCAACGAGTGGGTGCATCGACCTGGTATATCAAGTTTCTGCAATTTTTTACGGCAAATCAGTAGATTTTCGGGATGTAGATTGCTTACTTTCAATTCATGAATGAATAAAGCAACGACATGGTTGAACTTCTTTGCATGGAAAGACGTTTAAAATAACAAAATCAAGACGTATTTAATGCAATTGCATTTATATCGAGTCAATTTCTTTTCAATAATATAACGGGATTTTTACTACCGGTGATTTGGGTATTTTAGCCCCAAAATACCTTTAAATCGACTTTATCTTCTAGGAGTTCGACAGAATTTTTCCTTTCTTCGCTTAAATTATTCCGTAGCACTTTTCTTCAAGAATCTGATAAGATTTTGCTTGAGGCAGATCAAAAAACTTAAATTCGATCGAATAGCTTTCTACTTTCACAATACACGGTCTCGTCAAGGTGCGTCTTTGGCCTCGCAGTGTTGGATCGTGAATTCTCTTTTTATGCTGTTTGCCTATTTTGAAATCTCTGTAAATGAAAACTAAAGGGGTTGATATGTGCGAGTTAATGACGCGCTTTATCAACACATTGTGTTGGAGTTCACTGCTTGTTTTAATTTTTACTTCACGAAATTATTACTTCATTTTGAAAACATTATATTTTTAAAACGTGACAAATATTTGTAAATCCTTTTCCAAGCGACATTAATCTTAATGAGCGGCAGTTGTGTCGACAGAAACTGCAATATAATGAATAAAAGAGGGGAAAAAACCGAGAAGCACGCAATCTTTAGTTTTATAACCCATTTGTACCTTGATCTTTTAGAGTCAAATACGTAAAATTTTGAGCGTTTGGTTGCGCGTACACCTCGCTGCAGCACAATAAAAGCACAAAATGTAAAAGAAAAAATTAAAGTGCTTTGTTTGACACGGAACCACCAATATTTAAAAAACACACATTATATTAATATTCTCCTTTGATAAATTGATACATATTTTTTCCCCCATCAATTTAAATGAGAATAATCAATGCAGAGTGTGCAAACGTTTCAAAATTATGAGTTAAAAAACGCTGACTATGCGAGTATAAATATGAAAGCTTAACAGAGCGGAGCGGCGCTCGTGCTGCCAGCGCGAGAGGCTCACTGGCGCCTACAAACCTAAGTGGATACTTCACGCATTGCACAATGCTTGAAGTATCCACTTAGGTTTGTAGGCGCCAATGCGCGTCGCGCGCTGGCCGCCCGCCTGCCGTGCGGCGGCGCCTGAAGCAACTATTTCACATCAGAGGTGTTGCACAGTATTATGCGAAATTGAACGTATTAAGAAAGACAGGCATCCTTTAAAAGTACAGATCTTTCCTCGCAAAATAAATCAAGATACTTATCGTACACAGGAAAAATATAAGAGCCTTTAGCTGAGGCAAATATAGAGGTTTATCCGGCTCAGGTATAACAAGGTGGGAATTTTTTGAAAGATAATTAAGTCCTGTTACACCAAAAAGGTGTAGAGAGTTTTAGTGAATTTTGTCTCATGGAATTGACGCTCCCCCAGTTTTACCAAAACTCTCAACTATATATATTATTCTCCGTTGGACCAAACTCACAAAACAAAAAAACAAGCAAACCCTTATTCCTCCAAGACATTATACATTTTCATCCAAAAACGTTGTGAGCAACTCTGTCGTTTGTATTTACATGTGGGTCAATTAACTTTGAGTCTCAACTGGCACGTGGACCAGAACTCCCGTGTCGAAAAAACACGTGGACGTAAATTACTGGAAAAAACAGGTGCGCGGACAAAAAATCGTTGACGAAATGTCCTATAACCTTTTCAAAGTTTCGGCAATATTATATTCGTAGGTTTTTGACAAATTTACCTCTGAAATCTGCTTTAATTCCTCCAATGTTTTGCTTATGGACGTGTTTCCGCGCGATTCATATCGCGTGACCAATCAGAAAATTACTATTAATACTCTCATAGTTCAAATATTAACAATTTCCTGAGTTGAATGTAAGTCCTTCTCTGACAGAGTATCTGAGAAAGTTTGTGAAGTTCGGATTTTAACAGAAAAGTAGGTCACTCATAATTAACTGTGAGGTACACAGTAAGACGATTGTGTCGATTGAAGGTAAAACATGATTATTATATGAATTCCGGAACAAGAAATTCAAAATTTGACAAAACGTGCTTAAAATTACAATTCCAATTTGAATGAATATTGACATTAAGCATGCTTGTTGATTTCGAGCTCATATTTGTGCAAAATCGGCCGAAATTGACAAGCGATAATTGGACTGCATTTTGCAATTTGGAACTATAAATTCTGTCTCACGTGAAAAAACACTTATGTGCATAGGTAAACTAATGGCACGTACGTTGTTTTTAAACTGGGCCAGAATTTATAGTTCCAAATTGCAAAATGCAGTCCAATTCTGAGACCGAAATTCGAGTGCGCGGAACTCTTTTTTAAGTGTATTGTCAGATGATAAGGCTACCCAAGTAGCATAGTTAAACAGAAATATTGAAATTAAGTCGCATATAGCGCACTGAAATTGCATTTTTTTCAAGAATTAACTCGCAATATTTTTACATAATTTGATCAATTAATGTCGATTTTAAACTATGAATGACGGACTTCAGACGCAGTTAAATTCATAACAGAGGTATTCAATTTGCAGCTCAAATAATTATTGTAATTTATTTCATTTTTATTGCAATGAGGTTCAATAAGATGAGTCCCTTCAATCCGTAGGTAGGCCACACACACAACACTCTAATATAATAGCAATGATTTTACCGTGTAATCGCAATTATTTATACCACGCGTTTTCACCGCGCTTCATGTGTGAGAACCATGTATATACATAGATGTAATGGAAATCAAACAGCAAGTTTCACTCATCTCTACCATAAAATAACTTTCGATTTTGCAAAACTTTTCGTCATCCTTTTACTCCGTCCCGGTTTTATATACCAATGGCCTCGTCTCAATTTTTAAATTGTAGGTTTTTAATTAAACTGTATCCTTAAAACAGTTAGGTACCTACGTGAAAGAAAAATCAGCTTACCTTTCAGTCAGTTTTCTTCCAAAGCAAGCGACGATTCCTTTCTGTAAACTTGGATCACTGAGGCACGTTTTATGCTTTTAGCTGGATAAAAGCTCAATCTCGATGAAACTTAACGATGCAAAACATGTTTAAATGAATTATTAAAATTACCGTTATTACCCTGAAAGTGATTGCCTGAGAAATATTTAAGCGTATTTGCTTACCACTGATTCTTATCAACATTTAAAAGATTTTTCCATGGTTATTGCACTTATTTAAAACTTAACTCAAGAAAAATAATGGAAAAGTTAGGAACTTTTTTTTAATTGAAACTTTTAATGTAATAAATTAAAACGTTGACTAGGAAAATGCGCACACTCTTGAAAGTTCTCCACTTCTTCAACTATGCCAAAAGCATATTTAAATCCCGTTCAGACCTAGATTTCACAATTTTGATGAATCCATGGAAGTCCAAGTAGCACTGGTTAAATTCACGTTCCTCGCGTGGTTCCACAACCCGAAATCGCCGATCAAAAAGAAGTTGACTATCAAAAATCCGTTTGGTCTGTGATGCTGATACCAGAGGACCTGCCGAATCTATCGCTGACAGCCATTCCGATTGTGACTGATAGGAACCGCCATATGTCCAACATCAATGATTTTTGACCGTGTCTTCTGCCGCGAATGTAGGTCCGTGTTAGTGAATTTTTTTGACCGAAGCCGACACTCGGTAAATACACCTCGCACGCTGAAACGATTGATGTTGCTAAATTTCTTTATAAGCGCACGCCTCTTACTACGGTAATTGGTGTTTGAGTCCATCAGCTTATCTTACTTGTAAATAGTAAGGACTTTCACATCTCGATTAAATTTTGAAATTATTCCCTGAAAATTGTTTGATTTTAGAAAGGTCCAAAAATTTACTCTGAATTAAGAAAAAAAGAAGAAGAAAAAAAGTACATCCGAGCGAGGCTCATATAGTTGTTGATTTTGGTAAAGATTAGGTACTCATTCATCAGGAAAATGTAGTCATTGAATCAGTGGCGCGGTGCGCTTTGCTATATGTATATCGATTGATCTGCCAATCTAATTTATGGAAAAGGATTGATAAACAGGAAACAGGGTGTTCGCAACGAACGCCTTAATAATTAATTCTTTACCAGAGCTTCAAATGGGGAAATATCGATAATCGATCATTCACGTCTCGCTACTGCATTACATGAGGGTTTTTCGACAAGGAACATTTCTTTAATTGTCACTCAATCATAGATAAGAATTTCAAAACTTAGGAGTGCTAACGAAAACCACCAAAATATCTTCTGGATTTACAAGTTGTATATGTGGAGGAGGTGCTTCGTCAATTTTTCCTCATCCATAGTTATCTTGATGTTCTAAAAATCCATATACAGGGTTGCAATTTTTCATGAAAAATAAAATCTTGAAATTTCATGTGAAAAATTTCATGAAATTTCAGAAAAATATGAAAAACTTTGAAAAATATATTTCGGAATTATATGCAATCACATTTAATGAAAGGCGACTGGTTTTTGCTTTTTGGTGTTTTTCAGTGCCGTGTTGCACACCCAGCCCCTGAAAATCTGTTTCAAATTCTTCATAACTTGGTGAGATTTCATGAAATATTCCACGGAAATTTTCAATATTTCATATTTTTCATTTCACCCGTGCAGCCCTGTTTATGTATTTTTTTTCACTTTAAAGAATAAACTCATATTCATTCACCTGCAAGAGTGAAAATCTGCGATTTTCCAATTAATGCGGCACCTATGGCCCAGCTGCAAAGAGCACGAGCATTGTTTTATCTTCGACGTACCACGCTCATCGATGAGAGGTGTAATATTTCGGTCTTCCGCTGATTCATCTCTTTACTTCACACACCTTACACATGCTTCCAGAAAAACTGAAAATTTCAAGTTTATCTCTCGCTAGACATAATTTTGTGGCGCATGGCGCATGACGCAATGACGATTTGTTCAATTACACCTCTCCATTACATCACGTAGATTTTCCTTTCATTAGTACTGTCTAAACACTGACCATAGATATTTTCAGGTTCGAGCGGAGAAGAGCGAATTGAAAAACACCGGAACCTAGCTTAAAAATTATATTTACACAATAAGTTAATTCATATTCTAGATAAGCTACTTTACAAGCTGGCAGTCTTTACACCAGAACTCTTTCATGAAGTTGGCGCCTTTCTCGATGATCATAATGATGGGGTCAGAGTTCTATTACCGCTTGCCTGCGGGCTGATTATTTGAATTGACAGACAAAGCGATAGACAAAGAAGACAAAAATTATATGGAGGGATCCTAATGGTGGAAGCGGGTGGTTGCGATGGACAAAGGACGTAGGTAATAGACTAACTAACGGCAACCCACGAGAGAGTCCATCATTTATCCCCTTAGTCTGTAAGAACCACACATTTCAACCAATAGAATCGCTCTATACTCCTTATGTCTTCTTTGTTTATAGCTTTGTCTATAAATTTCAATAATCGACTCGCAGGGCCGGCAAGACAGAGCCCTTGAAGATTCAAGATTAGGCTATGATTAGTGTTTTTTGGAACCATAGAATCTAGTATCATCAAATTTGTTGAATGGCAAAACTAACATGAAGACGAGCAGAACAAAGAACATCGAAAACATTTAAAACTATATTTACAAATAAATTAATTCCTAACCTTGATGAACAACTTTTTAGAAACAAAAAGAGGCCATTTTATTAACATCCCAGGAATGTTGGAAACTCTCTTTTGCGGATCTAACATTCCCTCGTGGGAACCAACAGTTATCGTATTTCCTCGTTGTCATCTTAGGTTTAATGCAGCTCTTAGGACCCCAAAAAATGGTAGACGTCACACCTAGATGATTTAAAGTGCAGACAATTCGCTTTTTTTTGCTTGTATTGCCGTGAGTTTTACTTGAATCACATATTTAGACGTGTTCAATCAGTTTTAAAACCAATTTAGTGCCTTAAATTTGAAAAAAATAATTTCAACTTGCATCTCTATAATGACAAATTTTATAACAGGTGGAGTAGGTGATTAACGTAAAAGGTTGGCAACAATCCCCTCTCACCCGCTCCCAAGTATTCCCACCAAGAGTCGCCATCATTTTTTGGATCCTAAGCTGAAAGAAAAAGAAACCCTCCATCGGTATCTTGTCAGTTGTAGAAGCTTTTACTTTAAAGTTGGCTGCAGGTGCTTAGACACAAAGCCATTAAATAGCAGAAAAAAAAGAAAACAAAGTTTTTACTTTCGGAACTCCAACATCTAACTATAGACCTACCTACTAGGTGGATGTTTAAGAACGTGTTGAGCATTCTTTTCTGCAAATAAACCGAAGTTTATTAAACTTGTTTCGCTCATTACATCACCTGAAGTTCATCATCCACCCAGGAGGTAGGATGACTGTTGCTCTTTTAAAATTTACCATAAAAAAGTATTGTATCCCCGAAACAGAAAGTTGTCACCTGTCGCCAAGAGGATGACGGAGGGTCTCTCTTTGTCTCTGATTCTAAGAGTTTCTATGAGACTCAATGGCCAAATTCTGCGTATGAAAGTACTCCCATCGGACCGCGTTAAGCAGAAAGAAACCAAGCCACACCAGCTATTGCCAAATTTCGTCGGGCAAATACATTTTTTACATGAAAACTGTTGAGCGGATTTTTGTGCAAATATTAGTGAATTTTCTGCATAGCAAGGAGCAAATTCCCTAAAATTTTCAAAGGAATCCGTACATACTTTCTCTCGTAAAAAATCGAATTGCCCAGTTAAATTTGGCAATAGTTGATATGGCTTGGTTCCTTTCTGCTGAACGTGGTTCCATTGGGAGGTAATTTCAAGGGCTGAGTGGTAAACAGAGACAAGAGACCCTCCACTAGTATCTTGGCCATGGTGGAAGCTTTTACTTTCGGGACTTCAGCATTCTACTGTTGACTTACCTACTATGGTTGATGTTCAACAACGTGTTGGCAGTTTCGTTTTGCAAACAAGCCGAAAATGGCCGACGTTTGGGAAAGTTGTTTGGCTCATGACGTCATCCGAAGCTCATCATCGACCATGTAGGTAAGTCAACAGCCGAAACTAGCGTGATGACTGTTGCTCCCTAATACTTGTCCATAAGGAATTGTTGAAACCCCGAAAGTAAAAGCTTCCACCTGTCGCTAGGAGGCCAGTGGAGGGTCTCTTTTCTCTGGTGGTAAAGCTCCTACAGTAGAATCTTTCACACGTCACCATGAGGTTCTTAAAGGGCCTATCTCCGTACATGCGGACAGTCTTTGCACCAGAATTCCTTGACGAGGTCGGCGCCCTTCTCGGCGATCATGATGATGGGGGCGTTGGTGTTGCCGCTGACCTGGGTGGGCATGATGGAGCCGTCGATGACCCGGAGCCCCTTGATGCCGTAGACCCGGAGCTGGGGGTCGACGACGGCGTCCGGGTCCCAGTAGGGCCCCATCTTGGCCGTGCCCACCGGGTGGTAGATGGTGCAGGAGTAGTGGCGGATCATGCACTCCCAGTAGGCGTCCGTGTACATGGGCACTTGCACGCAGCCCGGGAACGGCAGGTAGTGCAGCTTCGAGCCGAACCGCTGCATCGTCTTCGTCTTGCTCATCGCCAGCGCGATCTTCACGCCTTCCGTCAGAACCTGCGAATAAAACCAAGTCGGATTTTATTAACTTTATTACATAGTAAGAAAAAGATACCATCGATGAAATCAGGAGGAAAGCAATGATGATGACTTTAACGGAAAAGACTGTTTAAGACGTCATTTGAAAAACCTGTTGATCGGTAACGTCTATTGATGACACTATCAGAAACGTCTATTGACGACGTCATCGGAAGCGTCTCCTAATTACGTAGCATTCGTTCATGAAATCAACAGAAAAGCCATCATGACGTCATGGATGAAAGTTTCCAATGACGCTTTCTGATTGGTTTTATTGAGCAATTAGAACGCAGATAGTGACGAACACACAAGAGTCGCATCAGCATTTTTTTAATAAGTAATAAAATAAAATTACACAGTAAGAAAAAGTAACGGACTTTTTTTTGTAACTATCGGAAGTGGAACAAAAAGTAACCTCAACTTGAGGTTAACATTTTTGGTTAGTTTTCCTTTGGGTTGCATTAACTAAGTTATGAGTTGAAAAATTGCAGCCTCGTTGAAAATCAGGCGCCAATCGCCGGGATTGAACCTGGTCCGCATCAATGAAAGTCCAGTGCGCTGGCAACTTGCAAGTCGCAACCTCTGTGTGGCATCGTGAGAAACAAGAGTGCACTAGTTCAGCAGGACTTTTTCTTCGTCCCCGGATTTCTCAGAGTAATCTAAGGGCTCGGTTACTGTGACTAAAAACTGCGTTGAGCAACCAAATCGGTTTGAATAACCTAACCAAAAGAAAATTAACCCCAAACATCGTAAACAAGGAAATTCATCTAACTGTGTAATCCAAAATATGAGGAAGTGATTCCAATCGTCTCCTTACGATTCCCATTATGGTAAAGACTTAGGTGCCAGATACACCTGCGAGCCAAAAGCGCGTCTTGCGCGGCGAGTTGGCCCTCGGCCGTGTTCGGCGATCCCTGTACCCAATCAGTTTGCCATCCGTAACTCGCTCAAAGTAAGATCGGGTCATACTTTTCGCGTCTAGGCGCGCGTCTAGCAAGCAGGTGTGTCTGGCGCTGTAACCAAGCGTTGGTCGGGTTTCTGTTTACCTTGATGTCGATGTTCTCCTTGAAGTAGTTGGGGATGATGACGGGGTAGTCGAAGGGGTTCTTGCTGCGGAGCTTGATGAACCCCCGGGACTTGGGGCGGAGGAGGACCGGGATGGCCGACCAGACGTCCTGGTTGTTGATCGGGGCGAAGACGTTCTCGTAGAACTCGTCGGTGAGGCCGTGGGCCTTGCGGATCTGGACGCCGCCGTCGGAGTTGGTCGAGCCGGAGACGAGGTGGAACTCGATGTCCGGGTAGTCCTCCGTCTCGTTGGCGTACTTGGTGTTGACGAAGGCCAGGGCCTCCACGCCGCCCGGCACCGTGAGGGGGCCGTCGCCGAGCATGGCGTACTTGAGCACCGACGGCACCGACTCGATCCGGTCCTGCACGATCGAGATCTTCTCGTTGATCAGGAACGTGAACCCGCCCAGGCCCACGTGGTCCTGCAGGTTGTGGCCCACCTGGAAAATGGAAGGCGTCGTGCGTTAGGGGTGATGCAACCATGCATGCCTTACGGATATGCGTGGTGTATGTTCAGAAATGAAGGCGCTTTACTTTTTTGACGTCAATGCCCGGATGCAACTATACTTGCTTCAAGGATGTACTTGTTGCATCCACAGAAATGAAGGTGTTTGAGTTTTTAACGCCAACCCTTGCATGCAACTATGCGGGCTGTACGGATATGATTTTTGTATTTACAGACATGAGGGCACTTGACTTGTACAATACTAGTATACAACTGCACTTGTTTCACGAATGTGCGTGTACTTCAAGTGAAGGTGCCTGGCATTTATTATACCCCTAGGCGTGATAGTGAAACTTCTAGTGATAAAAGAAAAAATATCGACATTTTTAGTATCAGATTCCCATTAGGCGATTCGAAATCAAAGAAATTTCGGAGTATTTTAAAATTACAATTTCTTGTCATATATTAATCGCATTTTCAGTGCCGAAATAATCGTGGCAAGTTTTTTTTTTTTTGTTTTTAAAGTCACCCTTTAATTCATAAAAGTGAAATTTCATGTGAATAAAGAAAAAATGCTCAGCAACAAAATACTGAACCCGGTTCATATTGAATGCCAGACTTTTTCTTTCCAGGTAACCGAACTTTTTGGTTAAATGAGAAGTTCGGCTTCTGTTGCCGGAAACTTTGAATACCCGAACCAAGAAATTTTGGTAGTCACATCGTCGCTTACCTGACATGAGAGCGTAACTACACTCTGCAATGAACCCTATCTTCCATACAATACATTGCTTTACCGGGCTCATCTCATTGTGTAGTTACGCCTTTATGTCAGGCAAGCGACGACATGTACCGAAGCTCAAAATCCATTACTCGACGATTTTCTCAATAAACTATTTTTCCAGAATATATACTTGCTACACTATGAGAGAAATCTCAACACAACATTTTGGTTACTACGAAAAGTAAAACAAAAAACGATCCTAGCCTTCGTTTGACAATTTCAAGAGAAAGTGCCAGCTAGTTTCCTTGAAGAACTTTAATAAAAGACGAGTGGTGAATACTAACGTCGCAATGGAACGAATGCATTTTCCCAGTCTTTCCATTGTTTTCTGCCCTAATTTCACCGCAAGCTGTACCAAAATCAATGCAAGATTTGTGTTGTTTGTGTTTCACTCCCCATATTATCCAAAAGTAACATAAGAACACAAATATTTTTATCGGTGTACTTGAAATCGTTGATTTCCCTTTTATAAACTTCGTTTTTGAATTACGTGTCACTTGAAACCGTAGATTGTCCTCTTGTGATCCAACATTAAAATCTAAGTTTAAGTGTGATTGAGTACCTTGAGATCCTGGATAACAGGTATGGAGAGCTTGAGGAGGTCGCTCTTGGGGCCTATGCCGGAGAGCATGAGGATCTGCGGGCTGTTGATGGAGCCGGCCGAGAGGATGACCTCCTTGCGGGCCCGCACGATGTTGATCTTCTCGTCCCGCGAGAACTCCACCCCGTAGGCGATCTTCGTCTTCGGGTTGATCAGCACCCTCGTCACGTGACTGTGCATTGCGATGTGCAGGTTCGGCCTCAGTCGCGCCGGCCGCAGGAACGATTTCGCCGTGCTGCACCTGAGAATAATACAAATCGTTTATTCCAGTCCAGGGTGTTTACTCGTCCGGAAAGTCCGGAAATAGATTTTTTAAGGGCGGTCCGGAAGAAATGAAAAAGTGCGGAAATTCCGCAAGAAGGTCCGGAATTTTTTCCTTCGTACCACACGTGTTTTTTAACGAACACTGGAAAAAAAGTTGCTTGGAACTAGTGTCCAGACTCTTAAAAACATTGATGAGAAAAAATAATCTCGATTCAATCGGATTTTTGCAGGAATCGAGAGTCACGTCACTTGATTGAAGCCGATTTCACTTTGATTCGAGAAAAAGTCCGATTGAATCAAGAGTATTTTTTCTTGTCAATGTTTTCAAGAGTCTCGACATTGGATTCAAGAGACTTTTGTTCCTCAGTGAAGCCTGGGAGGTATGCACTATGCAATCCCCTGCGCGTTGATTCTCAGAGTAGTATTTGCTGTAAGATGGCGATTGTGCAGTCTGCTAATCTTCAAGCCACTAATGAAATTTTGTGTCTACGTCATTTTTGTCACAATTCGAGCAAGAATTTCACATTTTCGAAATTTGTTGAATTTTGTCGAATGGAGGCTTGTATCGAAAGAATTGAGGATCTTGATGTATCAGGAATTTTCCCGAGTTTTTTTTATCACCGGAAACCCCCCAAAAATAAACTTGAAAATTAGGATTTTCAAAACTTTTTCTTTTATGCGGGGACGGACCCGGTACACTCGTGACGTCACAGTACATGACAAACCTGGTCTTTTCATCGTTTACAGTGTATTTCTCTATAAGGAATTGGCAACCCCTTGATAAAGACACCAGACTTCTCATATACTATGACGTTGCAAGTGTACCGGATCCGTTCCCGAGTAAAAGTGACCGTTTTGAACGGGTCGGTTCCTAAAACGGCTTTTTTTTATAGTTTTGGAGGTGATTTCAAGAATTTTTAATAGCGCCATCGTTATTTTCGTAAAATTTGCCTTTGCACTGAAAAAAAAACCTCCGGCCTTGGGAGCCGCAATTACGGACTATATAGACATACCGTCCGTTCCGAGCTCAAAGGCCGAAAATTCCGGCTGCTGGAGCCGTAGCTTCGGCCTCTGAACCCGGAGCAATCGAAGCTACGGCTCCAGCAGCCGGAGTTTTCGGCCTTTGAGCCCGGAACAGACGGTATGTCAATATAGCCCGTAATTGCGGCTCCCACGGCCGGAGTTTTTTTTCAGTGTGGAATTAGTCATTAATTTGCAAATCCTCGCACCTTGCAATAGGCCCATTCCTATAAATATCGCGAAAATTTTGCGTTTTATGATGCAAGGCTGATTGCGTTCTCAAACGTCCCAAATCCCAATGTGAACTGATTTTTGGTAACGTTTGCTGCACGGTATCTCTATGGTACTAACCTAGCCCCCCTGCGGAGCGTGGCCTGGGCGACCATGAACCCGGTCTGGAACTCGCCGTTGATGTCCCTGTTGGGGTAGCCCATCTCCTCGCCGGCCTGGACGAAGGCGGCGGCCAGCGGCGTGTGCCACGGGGCCTCGGTGATGGTCAGGTAGCCCCCGGTGCCGTGGAAGGGGGTCCGGCTCAGGTAGGGGTTCATGTTGTCCTCGGACTTCTTGAAGTAGTACAGGGCCTCCGCCGGGCCCCACCCCGGGTTCCCCAGGGACTCCCAGTGTGCGTAGTCCTTCTTGTTCCCCCGCACGTAGAGCATGTAGTTGAGCACGCTCGAACCCCCGATCACTTTTCCTCGCGGCCAGTTGCATCGACGGTTTTTCATTGCTGGAAAAAGTCAAAGATGTTTCAGTTATGAGCGTAGAAAATGTTAAAGAAGGGTTATCATCATTGGCCCAATACTGAGAAAATAGGTTTGGATGTCGTCGTCTCCTCAACGAAGAACGTAACTCCATTCCAACAAACTGACTCAAACAATTGATTAATGCTGCATAAATATACCTGTGCAATTTTTTTCCAAAATTTTCCTGACTTTTTATGAAATCTAGGGAAAAATCAGTGAAATTTTCAGATAGAAACGCCTAAGATTCCCCTGGTTAATGTACAATTTGCGAGGAGAAATTTCGCAACCTGCAAATGAAGTTACGTTCTTTTGCGAGGGAAACGGCAATATGAACCGTAAGCACAGTGTTCTATGTTCGCCGAACTGTGCACTTTAGGTAACTGTGCTCAGTGTGCTCTGGGTTGGAGGGACTGTGTCCTCGGTTCATGCGATTGAACTTTTTCTGCATATAGTGCGGTGTGGTTTGAAAGCTCGGTTGCCTGAACTGAGAATACGGCTCTTAGCACGGTTACAGAAACTTGATAGTGCGGCCGATATAAAACACTGTACTCGCGGGTCGTATGACCAAACTTTTTTTCCTCAGTAAATCCTTGACGGTCGGTGCGATAAACATTGTCGAAAATTTTGCAAAAATTGAATCAAAGTTTCATTCCAGTTTTTGTACCTTTTTCGACATTTTTTCCACCGGTATAATGAGAATTCATCATAGTTGAATCAGTTGTTTTCAAAAGGGAATAGGTCCATTCCTCGATGAGTCTTAGTTAGCACGTCCTTATGCAAGCCAAGGCTCTTACAATAATGGACTTGTTCCCTTTTGAAAACAATTGATTCAGTTCTGATATCTGTTTTAGGCAAAAACTAAATTTTTCCATTTTTCAAACTCTTTTACGTAATAATGTGCAAGATTTTAGAAAAAATTAAAACCACTTTTTAGTAGAATTAACCAAGAATTAACTGATTGCAATTGAGGAGATAAGGCAGGATCGAGACTTAACTCTCTATGTTCCAATGTGCCTTCATTTGCCATTTTTAGGGATCTTTGGAATGTATTTCATCAAATTGAGGGTAAAAAACCTCCTTGGATTTCTTTCCTTAATAGATGCATATTTTGTCATCCTCCACCAGGAGGCAATATAGGGAAAATCCTTTAGTGGAAACTTTTTGTCTGCACAAGACGGTAGTTTCCTTTTCTTTGTTTGTGATATCAAATTAAATCGAAATTCTGTGGTTTTTCAGTCAATGCCGTCCAATTTTATTTGGTGATGAACACAGTTTACTACTTACCTAAACACGCAGAATCCGAAGGTTCAGTCTTATATTTCCAGTCGAGTTGACTAAGCTGCAAATAAGCTGCCAAAAGAGGTACATCCGAAATTTCAGTCTCGTCTCCGCCTGCCTCCAGAAGTAACACATTCCAGTTCTCGATTTCAGTCAGTCGGTTGGCTAAAACGGCCCCTGAAAAGTTTCGGTTCTTTCATTAAAACTTGTGCATTACAACAACATACGTACCGTTAGCTTACAAAAAGTTAGAGTGCACATCGATTATAAATCCAGAAAAACACGTATCTTGCTCTGTGATATTGCAAACTTCCGGTCAGTATTCTAGTTGATTTCTAGTTCAAAACAGGCGCTCTGACGGTCCTTAAATCTAGAACTAACAGTGTTCGAGCCCAGAATGAATAATAGGTCTATGCAACCCCTCATTACAAGTCACGAGTTGCAAGTAAGCAAGTTGCAATAAGGCTCAATATCTAGTTTACGATAGAGTATACAGTAGATCCCTGGTATGCGCGAAGGATGCGTTCTGGAAGGAACTCGCGGATACCGAATTCGCGGATTTGGGGGGATTGCGCTCTCATGGAAAATGAGAAACGATAGAGGAGACAGATTGAATGAAAATAGTATATTTCTTACGAAAAAGTCAATTTTTATCTATAATTTTTGGTGAAAAAAAATGATGTCAACGTGGGTTGGGTTAGTTTTCTGCGCAGGTCTTTTTGTACCTTTAGGTAGGGGAGGATAATAGGCTTCAGTTCACGTTCAAATGGTAACGCCTTACCTACGAGAGGTTCAATCTCAAGGGCCTTCTCGCCAACATCCAGGGCATTCCCTAATAACTCATTCAGAACCTTTCGAGTAAATTGGGGCGGTTAATCTTCTTCTTCATCTTCTTTCACCGATGGTGACGTTATTTTACTCGCCTTTTTTAAAGTTTTTTAAACTTAGTCTGTTAACCGCGGGATCGCCGATAAGCGAGCCACGAGTTCGCGGATACTGGGGTCATGCCGCTAAAAGCCAATCGCGGATACCGCGGATCTACTTGTTCAGGAATCCATACATATTGAATTTAGCACAGATAGAGCTCCGTAAAATGCTAGAGAATCAATTCTTGTAAAATATTTACAAAGTATTTCCCGCTTGAGGAAATTTCCTTAAGGAAATACGTTTGAATTTTCCGGACAATGGATTCACGCGTGCTTCGAAGGTGAAGCATTTTCCTCTGCCCTTGATCCAAAGACACACAAGTCTCGGATGACACGCTTTCAGCGACCGCGTCAAACTCTGAATTGTTCGCTCGGCTGAATCGTCAGTTTGGAAGTTTGCAAATAACGCATTTTTCATCATTGACTCGAATTACAAACAAGGAACACTGCACATGATTGCCACATTGACATTCCGCGAGTTGTCCAACACGACTTATGCCACGATCAAAACCAGAAGTATTTTTTTCTCCCGGAGGAACATTAATCATGATGTTTTAAGTGCTGCAGGATTCGTCATAGTTTTTTTAAAATCTCACGAATATGAACATTGCTACCAAAGTTATGATCTTCATCTGGGACTTTCTGACTCTGAATACCTCTATCTCACACTTGGCAACGCAGACGTTCGGAGGTTTGCTTTATTTACTTTTTACGTCTTCTGGTGCCCTCGCAAATCGTCACGAGAAGTGCTATGGTGCATTGTTTCAATGCTTGATCACGATGCGACAGTAAGATGCTCTTGTAATTGGACGTATTTCTGTCAAACAGAACTATGTGCATTATGATGTAAGCCCTGTTATGCATATATTATTACGGGTCCCAGGGCTCATGTCTTAATGCACATAGTTCTGTTTGCCAGAGATACGTCCAATTGCGCCTAGATCTGCTGCAAAATCTGGGCTCCGAAACTCTTGACTACTTCTGTGAGTTTCTAGATTACAACTCTATATGGATTATCGCTCTGTGAGCTTAAAGTAGTTAATATCCGAAATCACATATCTCAAACGCATTGTTTCAAAATCTCTGCGCGCGGTTGTTATGCATTTTTGAGGGAAATTTTCCAGTGCTTTTTCATCATACCTCGAACTTTAAGCGTTCTCTATGTCCTGAACACCGTGGTTGATGGTGTCCCTCTTATTTTGCCGTAATGAGGCAAAACGTCGTATGAACATCCGAGCGTTGTCAAATTTCCTCTCAGAGAAAAAGAAATTTTTAGGTAATTTTTGGAACATTTTTCCATGAAATTTTCGGATATTTCAGATAAAATTAGAAACAAAATTCTCCACAAAACCGGAAGAAAAACATTTTTAATATTTACTGCAAATTCGTGAATTTTCAAAGGAATTTTGCCAACGTCTGAAGGCTCATAGGACGTTTTTCCTTAGCACGGCAGTATTGTTAGTCGACGTAGCAGATCGTCTTGTTAACGATTCGTAAGCGCAGCCAAGGCCTTCGCCTCTCGGGCTAGAATTTCCAGAGCGCCTTCAAATGTTTGCGTATGCAACTTTGACATCCGATAAGTTCGAATAGTTGTATCAAGGCGTTGACATCGAAATACAGCCTTTACCCACAAGATACAGCCCTACCCACTCGTAAGAAGGCACATACCTGCGCTGCCGTGATAGCGAAGAGAGCAGTAATCAGTGCAAAAAATGAAGTTTTAAGGAAACTGGCTCAAAAGCGTCTGAGAGGAAAATTTTATTTACTCCGTTCGTTGTCAAATTGTCTTTCATCATCCAAAAAACTCCAAGAAATCGTTTGGAGGATTAAAAATCGACCGATTTCATCTCAATTACGTAAAAAGGATATTTTTCATTTTCATGATAGGTTATTAGTAGGCAGGACACCGTAAAAGCTATTTTCTGCATGCTTTCGTGGGTGAGTTTTGGACGTACAACAAACACATTTAGAGGTTCGAAATTCGCAGAAGAGGGCGGCATTTTACTTGAAAGCACTGTTTTCATTTGTCCCTCGGGAGGAATAATGTCACCTACTGCTGCTTTGCTAAAAACTACGTAATTTTTTGCGCACTTACGGATTTCTCATATGTCTATTTTTCATACCTACAATTCAGATGCATTTGGCTGTTTTAGCTATTTCAGTGATTTCATCCAAAAGATACTACACGAATTTTGAAAGAAACTCGATTTCGCGATAATTACTGCTCTCTTTGCTATCACGGCAGTGCGGAGCCACTACCGACTTTAGTTCGACTCGTAAGGGTGGTCATTTATTTCGCCTCTCGGACTAGAATATCGAGAGCGCCTTCAAATGTTTGTGTATGCAACCCGGACATCCGGCAAGTTCGAATAGTTGTATCAAGACGTTGACATAGAAATACAGCCTTTACCTTACTGTTTCGTAAGAAGGTACGTACCTGCGGAGCCGCCGCCGACGATGATGAAGTCGTACTCCGGGTAGAGGAGCCTGGTCTGGACGTTGACGGGCCGGGCGTCCGGGTCGAGGAGGTCGTAGTTGAAATAGGCCAGCGCCGCCATGAGCACCGGCGCGATCCAGGCCACGTTCGAGGCCGCCGAAGCCGCCATCCCCGCCAGCGCCGGGATCGTGTCTGCAACCCCGCTCATCGCGCCCGAGTCTCCTCTGAAACACCCCAACACACGAAAAGCAACATCAGTATCAAGTGGAAATGGGGATGGGGAGGTATTAAGGGGTTTGAAGGACAAAGCGCGTAAGTGCAGTTTTAGGAAAATTTGAGGTATTAAGGTGATTCGATGGACGTCATATTTTGTGCCAAAACGACATGCGATATGTTGCATGAGAATATCGCATAGAATCTATCTGTGGAAAGTTGTCAGTTTCCAAAACGCCTGCAATTGTGGGCTGATATCTCCCGCATTTGAATCAAATTTTCATTTTTCTCCAATTTTGAGATCGCAATTCTGTTTCAAATTTTCGAATTTTGTCCAATGGACATCTTGGAAAAGTACTAAATTTCTTTCTAGAGGAGGTACTGAATTTCGTGGGATGCGCTCTAAAAATACTGTAACAGTACTAATTTTGGGCCAGCCAGTTTTAGTAGACACCCTATTTATGTGACACAAGAATCTAGCTGTGGAAAGTTGGCAGTTTCCAAAACGCCTTCAATTGAGGGCTGATACCTCCCGCATTCCGGAGAGTACGAATAGTTGTATCTTTGCGCCTTAACAATGCGATAGGAGATTAAGGTGATTCGATGGACGCCATATTTTGTGTCAGAACGACATGTGATGTATCGCATCGATTGGTTCCATTTTTTCAGCTACTCGTCATTTTTGAGAGTGCAATTCTGTTGTCAGGAGACTAAAGAATCCATACCAATTTTGACAAACAAATTCAACGTATTACAGGCATGGTTTTTTTAGAGGAAAATTATCGCATTCGATACTTATATCTCTCGAATGCGCACTCGAATGCGATATTTTTCCTCTGAAAAAACCACGCATTTATTACGTTGAATTTGTTTGTCAAAATTGGTGAGTGAATTCTTATGTCTCCTGACAACAGAATGGCGATTTCAAAATTTGGGAAAAATGACGAGTAGCTGAAAAATGAAACCAATCGATACGATACATCGCATGTCATACTGATACAAAATATGGCGTCCATCGAATCACCTTAATCTCCCATCGCATTGTTAAGGCTCAAAGATACAACTATTCGTACTCTCCGGAATGCGGGAGGTATCAGACCACCATTGAAGGCGTTTTGGAAACTGCCAACTTTTCACAGCTAGATTCTTGTGTCAAATAAATAGGGTGTCTACCAAAACTGGCTGGCCAAAAAATGTAGCTGTAAAAAATGGAGCCAATCGATGCGATTTATCGCATGTCGTTCTGACACAGAATATGGCTTCTATCGAATCACCATAATCAGGGTGTCTAAAAATCCGGAATTTCCGGAAAGTCCGGGAATAGCACCGATTTTTCAAGGGTGGTCCGGAAGTACTAAAAAATGCGTAAATTTTGCAAGAAAGTCCGGAATTTTTTTTTTCATTTTTGTCACAATTTGAGCGGGAAATTCAATTTTTTTTTTTATTTCGTCAGTTGAAGGTGCTGGAAAAAGTACTGAATTTTTCTGTCAAGTAGATACTGAATTTTTTGAAAAAGTACTGTAAAGGTACTGATTTTTGGCCAGCCTGTTTTAGTAGACACCCTGTTAATGATTTCAAGTAAAACTAGTCTTAATGCATATTCTGTGAAAAATTAGCTCCAGAATTCCAATTTTTAAGCATCAAAAAATCAGTTTGACCCTTTCTTTCCGTCATAAAGATCCATGTAATATTGAATCTTAAAACGCGCATTTCTCCAAATAGCAGAAACTGTACTTGTGCACCTTGTCCTCCATGCCCCTCAAATGGTCCAGAAAAAGTCACAATTTCAAATCTGTACACTAAAAATATTATGACTGAACAAGTCTGTTGAATGTCGATTTTGTGGCATCAAAAAAATATGAGATTGATTGTTGCAATTTTTTGTCGCAATTTTTTTGCAATTTTAAACTCTCATCTCAAATCTCCCTGAAGTGTTCTCAAAGCACTTTCGTGAAACCTTGTTTTACCAAACCCCGAAAATTTACTCCTCTGGCGGAGCAATATATTTTTAAATAATTTTTCCGGGTCCATGGAACATAACCTATGGCCTAAATAGGATTTTCTGTTCTTATATTTCGAAATAAAATTTTCAACCTTTGGTTAAAATTTATCAGGAGCTTGAAGTGCCTGTCTTCTAACTAGGGGTTGAAGCAAATCAACAGGCGATAGAAACAAGCATAAGTAAGCATTGGCGGATCCAGACACTTCGAACGGGTGGGAGCAGAAGGGGGGTCCCCTCCCCCGAAAATTTTAAGAATTTTAAAGCATCTAATACGCAGTTTCAGTCAATTTCGTAATGAATATTTATCAAATATAAGCGTCCTTACTTCTTATTTCCTCCCGTTCCTTCCTTCTCTCTTTCTTCCCTTTTTCTTCATCCTTTTTTTTTGGCGAACGGGGGCCCTGGATCCGCCTATGTGAGTAAAGATACACCAATATTTCAACCCAAGGGTTCCTCTTCCATTGGAAGATCTCAAAATGAAAAATGCTGTGTTTTGCATTGCTTTTTGCATTCAGCTCACAGAACCGGACGATATCCTCATCTCTCGAAGAAAGTAAATTGCCTCGTAATGAGAGTAATCGTCCGTTTATCGCTCCGAGTCCGAAAGCGGGTCACTATCTTTCTAATCAGAATGATTTCCAGTTGATGATGCTCCAGTCGATGATGGCGATTTTGACCGCGTCTCTTTTTTTAAAGAGACAATGATTAATTGAGCCATTTCCAATCGCGCGAAGAGATGCGCTCAAACGTTTTAATCAATCTTAAGTTACGAGGTGAATTTCTGTGCACCTGCGCAGGGAACTTATCAGTGTAGTTTTGGGCTATCAATTAAACCACGTTAAGCAGAAAGAAACCAAGCCGCATTAGCTATTGCCAAATTCAATTGGGCAATTTAATATTTTACGCGAGAACGGTTGAGCGGATTTTTGTGCAAATTTTGGTGAATTTTTCGCACACTACGAAATAAATTCCTTAAAATGTTCAAAGGAATCTGCACAAGGAGGATGGCGCGGAGGGTGCCGAAGGAGAGGTTGGAGGGATGGGATTGAAGCACAAATGTTAAGATGCGAGATCCCCGAAGGGATGTGGTTCAACAGGGGGCAGTTGAGGTTAGGCGTCCTAGAGCGCCGGGGATTGCTATACACCGACTTGTATGTATGTATCCGCACAAACAAAGTAATGTAAAGAAACTAAATTTCCCAATTAAATTTGGCAATAGCTGATGTGTCTTGGTTCCTTTCTGCTAAACGCGGTTTAATTGGACTACATTTTGCAATTTGGATCCATAAATTCTAGCCCGGTTTAAAAACGACGTATGTGCCATTGTTTCCCTATGTACTTAAGTGTTTTTCCATTGGAGCCAGAATTTATAGTCCCAAATTGCAAAATGTAGTCCAATTGATATTGAAAATTAGAAGATGGAGGGAATTCAAAATATCGTACGTGTGAACAATTTTAGCTTAGAATGCGCTTGGGCTCCTTTTTTAGTACATTTTATAGTGAAATTCTTTTGACTTTTGAATATTGAAGTCAAATACAGATTTCACAAGTTTTAGTCAGATTTTTTATGCTAAACGTGGCATCCATGATCTTAATGACGAGTCATAGACATCTGCTGTCGCTTTCTTGCCCCAAACCCAGATTATGCTGGAAAATCGGATTTTCGCAGTTTTTTTATCAGTTCGCACCTCGAAATAGATTATGAACGTTTCCACGAGTTGGTTGCTCTAGGATGATACCTCTCCAAGAGGATATCAATCACCTACACTGCTGTCTACACTTAAGCGGGTCCAGGGGGAATAAGGGAGCGTAAGGGGCGCACACACCCTCCGTTTGCTCGAAAAAAGGGAGGAAAAAAGAGGGAAGAAAGAAAGAAGGAAGGAAAGGAGGAAAGAAGAAGGAAATGCGCTCATACGAGGGGCGTTCAATAAGTAAGTATCCCCCCTCTCTAAAATCCATTAGAATGAACCAATTTTAAAAAAACTTGGGCTCAAAATCTTCCTTAGGATATTTTGAGTTCAACAAAACAAACCGCAACAAAATCGGACCATGTCCGGCCGAACGCGAGCCGTTTGAACGCGCCGAGGTGCTCGACGCTCCCGCCGAATCCGCGAGGATTTGAAGTCCGCTACAGGAGAAGAGCTTCTCTGCCAAAGCCTCAGTCGTTCATCACTGACGAAAAATCAAAGAAATTTTTGTAGAATAAGGGGCTTACCTCACTTCTCCACATAACCAGCTCGATCCAAGCAAGTCTGATACTGAGACTAAGAGAACAGCTTTTGGATGCCTCGCGCGTGGAAGTCTTTCAGCTGACCGGGGATGAAAGAGTGGACGGCTTGTTTGATCTCTTCCCTGATTCAACATTAACTCCTCCGAGTTCAGATTTCAGATACGATAATAAATGGCAAACCAGACCACCATTTATTCCCGTTCCTCAAATCTGAACTTGGAGGAGTTAATGTTGAATCAGGGAAGAGATCAAACAAGCCGTCCACTCTTTCATCCCCGGTCAGCTGAAAGACTTCCACGCGCGAGGCATCCAAAAGCTGTTCTCTTAGTCTCAGTATCAGACTTGCTTGGATCGAGCTGGTTATGTGGAGAAGTGAGGTAAGCCCCTTATTCTACAAAAATTTCTTTGATTTTTCGTCAGTGATGAACGACTGAGGCTTTGGCAGAGAAGCTCTTCTCCTGTAGCGGACTTCAAATCCTCGCGGATTCGGCGGGAGCGTCGAGCACCTCGGCGGGAGCGTCGAGCACCTCGGCGCGTTCAAACGGCTCGCGTTCGGCCGGACAAGGTCCGATTTTGTTGCGGTTTGTTTTGTTGAACTCAAAATATCCTAAGGAAGATTTTGAGCCCAAGTTTTTTTAAAATTGGTTCATTCTAATGGATTTTAGAGAGGGGGGATACTTACTTATTGAACGCCCCTCGTAATTGGAAATTATTCACGTCAAAAGTGACTCGATGTTTTAAAATTTCAAAACATTCCTGCGGGAAGCCCCCTGGACCCC